ATGCAATTTTCGTATCGACTCTTGGGTACCGGTCGAGACGTCGCAGATCGAAATTTCGCCACGTTCATTTGCGATGCACTTCTGAAGATTCATTTCAAGAAACTTCTTGGCGGGAAAAATTTTTCCATACCCGATAGGCAATACCTACCTATAAAATGTCTTTGAAGACTTTTTGTCTCCTGTCCAGCCGAATTCCTTAAACTGTCAAACACCAAGCGGGTTAACTCGTCGAGTACCGGTTTTGTAGACACAATTATAGAACAATAGGTTGCGGTCACCGGTGACCGCTTGGTGTTTGACAGTTTAAGAAGGGTATCAATAAACTGCTACTGCGTTGGCCAAGATGCGTTGATTGTATGGGTATGTAATTACTTCGAAATACATAAAACAAATTCGTTTATTTTTTCTTACAAAATGGCAATTAAAAATACAAGACCTATTCATATCTTTCAAGGGGTTGCGTCTCTTTTTTTATATATTAAATTGGACTGAAGTTTGACAACTATCTCGCCTGGTGGTAAGCGATGATGTGGCCTACTATGAAGCACGTCGCACCCATAAGCAACCTATTCACTCGGGCCTTGAAGACCCTTCAGAAAATACAGACTCTGGCAAAGAATTCCACTCCTTAGCAGTACGCACAAGGAGGCTTGATGCGAAGCGCTTCGTGCGTGTGGGTGGGACATTTACCATGAATCGGTGACGCTTCGCCGATTGTCTTGTGGTGTAAGTTGTACAATTCCACTTCGAGCCAGAGCCCCGGTAACCCGTTAGGCACTCCGCAGTTGTGCAATGCCTACGGTGTAAGATTAGATGTGGTCCTGGTGTCAGAGATCATTGATGTAATAGACGTAAACGAGATAGTCGGAGAGGACTTGATCCTCAACGAGATGTTTACAATCCACCATTAGGAGTCGTTTCCCATTAGCGACCACCTCAAAAAAGTCTATCTCAGAATAACACAATCCTGTACAGTACTTAACATTGAAACCACAGAGAGAATGGAACTTCTCAAAAGGCAATTACGAGTTATATGATCTCATCTCCAAAGCATCGTGGCAAGATGTTATCGCACAGAACACTGACACTGCCGTTGGTAATTTTTATCATGTCATGTATGGTAGGTATATTCAATACATGTACCTTATACCTAAAAAAATAGACACAAAAAACCTAGCAGACGTTATCCGGTTTGGTTTTCATAACAAATAATTTTCAATGTCAAACATAAAGCTGAGCTTATCGCCTTGGGAAATCCACCAGAAATCTGATCATATAGGTTTAACCAATTTACTACACTTATTTCTAGGGAGGGAGTATCATCGAATGACTTCTCCCGTCTGGTTGAGGCGGGACGAAGTGTCAGTCAGACTCTTACTGAATAAAAACCACCCCGTTCCTACTCCTGTACTTCGAACCGGAGCCCCGGCAACCCGTTAAGTCCTCCGCGGCTCCGTATCGGAATATACTTACACTTAGTGCCAACATTAAGCAACAAATAAACTTAGCTTATAAAGACTATATTGCAAACATCCAAACTAAATTGCGACGCGACACCCGCGCCTTGTGGCAGCATATATCTAATTATAGCTTCCTTTTAATGCCTGTCAAGTTTTGCGGGGTAATTCCGACTGCCCGCAAATAGTGGCGCAGGTGGTAAGACTTTTTGTCCCTGACATACCTAGGTACCAACTAAGGCCACTGCTTACTGGCCGTGCCTAGTACCCGCACTATATCACATGCTCATTCGCCACTTTTTCGTGCCCTCACACTAAATAAATGATCTTCGGGCATCATCACCAGTAGTCCGGTCAATTTAGACCAAAAAATTAGAGTGAAGTTACATAAAGTCCCAACAAGCTGAATTTTTGTTATCTCAGAAACGGTGGCTCGTAAGAAAAAAAGTATTGATACTTTTTTATAGATAATTTTATTTGATCTTGAATTAATTTTTTTCCTTACGGGGGAATGATGGGTAACTTCTAGACATTGTTTGTAATTATGTTTTGAACAACTTCACAGAAATTCAGCTTGTTGGGACTTTATGTAACTTCGAATGTCTAAATTGACCGGACTACAGAGTGTGATATATTTACGTCAAGCGCAGGACTGTTTGCAACGAATGCATGAAGTTGTGTGAGTGTATGAATGCATAACTGCATTTTATTTTATATTGTGTTGTATGTCAATGTCTTATTTATTTTATATTGTATATTTTGGTTATTGGTATTAAAACCTGTCATAGTTTGTAAGGTTTTCTTATTCTTATCGTTTGTTTTATATTTTTCTACCAAGTTTACAATTTGTCATGTAGGCAAGGGTTTTTCAGTTAGGTATGTTTTGTTTTTTTTTTTCTTTTTAAAATTACCTGAAATGTATAACGCCTTGGTTTTATCTTTATTTTTTGTGTTTACTTTATATAGGTATCGAAACTACTCAATACTCAATACGTTTATTGCACTCCATATGTTTAAAAGGTGTTACATTATAATATAGTACAGTATGGACCCTGTAGGGCACGGCAACGTAGAAGAGAGGAGGACGCTAATTTTATTTAGATTATGTATCGCAGATTTCTTATTACTAGTTATAAGTAGTTGTTTTGTTCAATTTATTTTGTAATGCTATTAGTATACTCCTTATGGTAAGGTGTTATGCCGCAAGACAAAAACGAAATATTTTCACGGTGTATGGTGTAAAGTGCGTGTCAATCTGTAAAAGTACACATATATCGTTTCTTTTGGAGATACACGCGTATCTAGGCTTAACATTATGTTGTCTATTATTTTAATTAACGGTAAAATGGGGTGAGGCAGAAGAGGGGTGAATCGATATTGGGAAATTTTTCATAGTATCAATTCACCCTGCCTCATTGGCCGAGTGGTCGCAAGTGCTACTGCCGGGCAAGGAGTCTCGATTCCCGGGTCGGGCAAAAAGTATTACTGGGTTTTACAAAAAATTCCCAGTAGTAGCACGGAGTCTGGAATTGTGCCCAATAGGCTCACCCCCTATTACATGGGACTCATAACATAAAAAGTGAAAAGTGGGTGTTACATTGTACAGTGGCATAATGTACACCTCTGCCTACGCCTTTGGGGATAAAAGGCGTGATGTTATTTTACCATTTTACCGTACGTAGCAGGATCAAATAAAATACCATATTCGTATATATTATTTATTTTCATTACAACTAAATTGCTTACATATCGGAATAAGTACCTATCACTGAATTTTTACAAGGAAAGGACTGTCCATTACAAAAAAATATAGTAAACGAGCAGACGGGGTCACCTGATAGTAAGCAATCAGCAGGTCTTTTATGAGTGAAGATTGGGACTTCGGTAAAATTATGACGGAAATAAATTTTGTCGAATTTTTTTTTACTGTCTTGTACAGAGAATCAAGTGCATTATCAAAATACTAATTGGAGGTTTATTTTTATTGTGGAGAATTCATTATTTCAAACTCTCATAATACTTTGCCTAATACGATATTTCGTATGTAAGAGACAGTCCTAACCAAATCAATTTTTAACCAATGGCAATACAAACAAATATGCATTGACTGGCAACACTTATTCTACCAAGTCCATTTCAAAATTGGAATACATTAATAAAAAATGCTTTGATTTATTTTATAACGTAATCGAATGTAATCTATTAAATAAAATTTGACAAGACTATACTTTTTACTGATTACATAAATCTAATATCTTATTAAAATCTGTCAAGTTTTTGGATGACGTCAGAGTAGAATACATATGTCACCGACGCTACTCTTCTCGCGGGTGTCGTGTCCCCGACTAAGGGACTACACATTTCACAAGAGACTGGGCAGCAGCGCTCTCTGATAAACCTGAACCTTTTACACTGCGATCTCCAACCCGACTGTCAAGCGAGGGTTTCACAGCTAACCCCTATTAAGAGAAGACTCATAGTACCTACAGCGGTGGACTGTAATAGATTGTTGATGATAAATAAATATAATTTAGACAGAATTTTTAATAATATATTGTAATTTATTAATAGAAAAAGAACATTAACTCGCTAAGTAGCCAAGATTCTTTTCAAAAATTAAAATATTGCAAACAAATTATAATAAACTGTTGAACAGTACAAAAACAAAATAAATATATTAAATTTTGACTAAAATAAAATTAGATAGAAACATTTTTTCTCATGATTTGTTCTCATACACAAAAAGGGGTAAGTAGATATGAAATTTGAAGAGCTAATGAGGTTTCCGTTATATGCCCACTAGATGACGTTAATCTACAACAAAATCTGTGCATCCAGTAAAGAATTAGCTAGTGAATGCTTATTTTTAAAAGGGAGGGGGGGGGGGTAAATCTTCCTATAACGCCCACCTGGGTGAGGCGAGAGGGAGTGTCAGACTCTTACTGACTAAAAACCATCCCGTTCCTTCTCCTGCACGTCGAGCCGGAGCCCCAGTAACCCGTTAAGTCCTTCAGCTTCGTAAGCTACTGACTGCTAGAGTCAAACTGTTGGAGCTGCGGACGACCTAGCGGGCTATCGCAGCTCCGGCTCTATGCAGGAGTAGGCACAGCGTGGTATTAAGTCAGTAAGAGTCTGACACTTCCTCTTCTCGCCTCACCCGGGCGGGAGAAATCATAGGATGATTAAATTCCTTTAAACTGTCAAATACCAAGCGGTCACCGGTGACCGCAACCTATTGTTCTATAATTGTGTCTGCAAAACCGGTACTCGACGAGTTAAACTGTCAAACACCAAGCGGTCACCGGTGACAGCAACCTATTGTTCTATAATTGTGTCTACAAAACCGGTACTCGACGAGTTAATAAAAAAACATTTTGACAGCTACGATTGGATAAAAAGACTTGAAGCTACATTCACGCCATCCAATGAGCAAGAAACGCTAGCTTTTGCTGAAATAGGGAGCGATTTTGGTTTATTAATTATATCTAGTTATTATAGTTATGTATAGAAATGGAAAATAATTCAAATCACACTTTACTTATACAACTAAAATACATAAAAAACTAGACTCAATAACATTTTTGTATACATTTACTAACTAGAGATAGAATTTTGACATAGGCCCAGCGCAGACCGGCGGAGGCGCGGTGTGGATACTGATAATAAATCAATTTTAATATAAATCTTATCTACTATGATATACGGATGATAATGGCATGCCAAAGATGAGAGACACGCGGTACTTCGTCAAACATCTTTAGCAAGCCGTTTTTATTCGTATGTAATAGTATTTAAGGTTTAATTTTAATTGATTTATTGTCATTATCTTCGCCGCGCCTTCTCCGGTGTGCACTGGGCCATAAGCTCCATACAAAATATATTACTGAACCTGGTTTAAGACTAAGATAATAGATATTGCTTATTACATATTTGTCTCTTTCTAACATAGGCAGTGCGAAAAGACAGCTATAGGATACCAAGCAACATCTATGAAATTGAACCTTAAGAATGGAATTTTAAAGTCTATTTTGGATCATTTACTCAATAGCAGCTAGGAGAAGTTGGGCGACATCTTCTCGAGGGGATCTGGAGACTAATTTCATGGTGACGGCGTTGCCAGCGGCCGCGAGACGAGCCCTAACCAGTACAGGTGCTCCGCCCCGGAAAATTCCACCTCCACGGATTTCTTTCACCGCATCTCCCACAATGGCAGCTTTAGGCAACCCTAGATGCTCACAAACCGCTTTAGCAGCCTCAGTAACATCATTTTGAGACAGCACAAACGTCTCACTAGCCTCAGGGGCATTCGCAACCCTTTCCCAAGTCTGTTCCCAATCATCAGACCCTGCCCTCGCTCGGATCTGATCAGCACAAGTCATTTCGAACTCCTCCAAGGGATAGGAATCGGAATACCCTTCGCCTGGGTCTGGTATACCTGTGGTGGGGTCACAATCGCGTACCAAGAACTCTAAAGTAGCCCCGAAGGTTGCAAGACTGTCGAGGAAGACGCAAGGGTACTCCACAACGAGGAAGACGCTTCCAGGTTTGTCATAGGCCAATTTTTCGCATAGCACTACGGTCTTAACCTCATATTCTCCAGGTACTTCAAGTTTCACGCTAACATGTTCTAGCAGTTGATCGCTAAGGGTGTTAACACATTCAAACTGAAAGATAACATGTCTCGCATAAATGTGCTTGATTAAACGCACCCTGTACTCAGTCTCTGCTTCGGTTAAATCGATCGGCAAATTCGTCTTGAATAGAGCTCCCAGTCTTTCGATTCCTGGTATCTTTGCCAGCTGTTCACCGTATATTTCCTCAATGGACATCTGGATAGGTTTCCGAATCTCAATTTCAACGATTGGTTCCTTACTTTCCTTGGCCTCTTCTTCAGCCGGTACTGATAATAAGTTGAAGGGATCATCAGGCGTCGTCGCTAGATGGTCTCTCAAGGCCTTTTCTAACAAAACTGGATTCGGTTTCGGGACGTTGACGATGTAGTCGTTAATCAACTGTTGGTCTCCAGTATCTAGAATCGCACTATAGTAAATCGCTCTGTCCCTGACTTCATCTTCCTCATCAAGTTGGCACCGGGCTAGCAAGACGCTGATATTTGGCAAGAGCTCTGGTCTTTGAGCTCCAAATTGCGCCACAGCGGAGACAGCGGCCGCGCGAACAGGGCCAGACTCCAAAATCACTCGGTTGTAGATAAATCGTATGTACCGTGACGGTTGACGGGATTTTGGCCCTTCTCGTCCAAGTAAATGTAGGATGCGAACAGCCAAAGCCGTGTGTTCACAGTCCTCAATGAACTCGCAGAGGTGAGCAAGACCTGTCTCCTTCGCTTCAGCGTTTTCCTCAACTAAAGCGATGATAGCGTCAGCAATAGCTGCCTTGTATTCTAGACCACCTTCATCACGTAACATACCAGCCAAGAAAGCAGCCAACGACTGATGCTTCCTCGGGAACTTGGTGCACAAACGCCGGATAGCTCGGACGACGACAATTTTGAACTCATCCGATATTTCGGAGACAAAACTGGATATTTGCTTCATCAGTCTGTCGACCGAGCTCTCAGCGCCCGTTGCTAACAACGTAGTCACTGCTAGAGTGGCTACGGAGCGATTAGGATCAGAGATGAGATTCTCAAGGTCAACTGCACAAGCTGCAACTGCAGTTGGGTGTTTGGCTGTTAACCTCGCGAGGGTCCTTGCTCCAGCGAGCCTTAGAGACGCTTTAGAAGAACCGCAGAAGAGTTGCAAGACTGAGACAGCTGGAGCGAGATCTCTTGCCGTCTTCCTTAAATTGACAATAGCATGGGCAGCTTCATAGATGACCATCTCTGACTTATGACGGAGACAGCACTCAATAAACTCGATATAGGGTTGTGCTGCATCGGAATCATCATCTTCAACTAACTGAGCTGCTAAACGGATGAGGAGGCATAGTGCGTAGGGGGACTTTAAGGGAGACCTAGCCAACCGCGTCACTAGTTTCACAGTTGATAACTTGTCGTTCTTTCTGGAGCCGGCGACCACACCCAGAGCGTGGTAGGAGACCATTGCGTTCTCGGAGCTGATGGCTTCCTGTAAAATAATGAAAGTGGAAATAAGAATATGGTTTTTAAATGAGAAACTTATAGTACAGTTTAAGTGTGGGCGAGCCATGCTTCGGCTCGAATGAGCTGGCTCGATCGGAGTGATACCACGGCCGAATAGAATACCGACGTGAAACAACGCTTGCGTTGTGTTTCGTCGTGTGAGTGAGGTTACCGGAGGTCGAATTACACCCCCTCCCTAGTTTCCCCAAACTCGAATCGGCATGCCATGGGCGGCACCGATTGCTTACTATCAGGTGATCCGTCTGGTCGTTTACCGGGTTATCTATCTACCTCTATGCATGTATATAAAAATGAATCCCTTTTCCCTTGGTCATGGCATCACGCGTAAATGGCTGGACTGATTTAATTAATTCTTTTTTGTTGTGTTTGTCATTATTAGGAAAAGGTTAGGTAAAATCTGTTAAAATCAGTCTGTTGGTTGACAGATTCAGCAATGTGTGACGGATCATAGTAGGTGGCGCTTTGTACCTTGCATTGCAACAAATAGATGCATTATTTATCTGTAGTTTCTGCCGGTCTAAATGGGACATTGTGCGACAAGTATCTATCTATTATCAAAACATTAAAAATTGAAACAGAACAGTTTACAAAAAACATTCGAATACATTGCTATCAGTGAGTATGATAATGAGTTTGGAACCTATGTCCTGTTGTATGTATGCTAATTATGACAACTAACATAAAATAATTTTTTTTTTTTTAGTGAACACACTTCATAGGAGTTTTATATGCATAACATGCTCTAACCATGTTTCTTTAACCTGTGTCTTATTTATTGTCTATGTGCCACTGGATGAGGAAGAACCTCTCTGTGGTTCGAAACTAGTAGAGCTTTCCTCAATATATTCACGTGAGTAACCCACGATTTTTAGTTAATGTAATCTTATTGTTATACTTTCGAAAGCAAGAAATATAAATATTTAGTAATAAATCTTTTTTTCGTTATTATTCAATAAGAATTTCTATCGTTATGTTACTGATAAACTCAAATGATTAAATTGTATGATTACGTTTCAATGTTTTGATTGAAATCAGATATGTACTATACTAAAAAATATGTATTTCTTTTTTTTATGGTATAGGAGGCAAACGAGCAGAAGGATCACCAGATGGTAAGCAATTAGTGCTGCCCATGGACACCCGCAACACCATAGGAGTCACAGCGGAGCGTTGCCCGGCTGTTTAAAAAGGAATACGCTCTTTTCTTGAAGGTTTGAAAGTCGTATCGGTTTAGAAATACACTAATTTCATCATAAGCAAGAATTTGTTAAAAATATTTTTTTTAAAAGTGAATATTTAGTAAAAGTTTAATAATATTTTATTTTCTGTATGATGCAACTAGCCAAATGTTGATGTTAGATGGACATTATGTCAATATTATTATAGCTGAGCTTCTAAAGTGTAAAACGTAACATCTACATGAGATTTCATTAACTGTCTGATACATACTGAATTAACTCGTCAAGTACCGGTTTTGTAGACACAATTATAGAACAATAGGTTGCGGTCACCGGTGACCACTTGGTGTTTGACAGTTTAATAAATTCTAACATAGGTTAGCAATTTATACTGAATTCTAGGTTTTTCTCGATTAATTAGATTTTTATTTTAATTTCAAATTAAAAATATTTCGGTTATCTGTAGACTAACGAGTGTATGTAGTATCCATCTGCCTAAACACACGCAATATGTTTACCTACTAAAAAAACTATTTCAAATAAAAATTACAAACCTGAGCTTCATTAGCCCATCGGCGGACTAAGTCTGGGGCTGTCGACGATAGATGGAGAGCGGAAACCAGCGCCGCAGAGCTGACGGCGGAGTTCTTATCAACAATTGCTTGTTTCATGTACCTTTCGATGGCTTGCAGCATCGTACTATCAGTAATACTGCACAAGGCTCTTATAGCAGCCGCTCGGTACAAATCCTCCTTTCCAGTCATGTCTTTGGTCAGCGAAGAAGTCACTATGATCACATCTTGAGCCAACGTACTCAACTCCTTGATACATAAATACACCATACGCCGTAACATCACATCTTTTGACTGAAACAGCTTTGTTGTAGCGAAGAATGCTTCTGTAGCTTCCTGTGTAGTGAACTTCTGCTCTCCTTGGTTCAGTAAATACAGGATTTTCGTCAAAATAAGGCAACATTTTCGAGGATTCACAGGAGATTGATTGAAATATCTCGCTTCTTGCAGGATTATAGTCTTGTCCAAGTTCTGGTATGGGTTCCCGCCGCTATCCTCTTCCTCCTTTTTATCGCGTTTGAAGCTCATTTTGAGCTTTTTTGGGTTTCCCTGAAGGAAATAATTATAAGGTGCGGACGAAAGCAGCTTACACGTCACTTGCGCAGTCGAACACAAAAATAAATGTCACTGTCAAAATAATCGCACTACGTTTAGTTACTGCCATTGCGTTTTGATACATTATTGATCATGAATATCGTTATAAAATTGCATCAAAATATTATGAAGATAATTCAATATAATATCTAATATTTAAAATCAAGACATCTTAATTTGTTTTTTATGGCATAATCCAGTAAACGAGAAGTCGGATCATCTGATGGTACATGTTAAGCAATCGGTGCCGCCCAATAGATATCTGAAACACCAAGACGTTACAAGCGTTACCGGCCTTTTGGGAATTTGAAGATTGTGGAGGATTCGGGGATCGGGGAGATTGGGTAATTGGGCCTCCTGTAAGCGAGCGGTTAGCTTGGCAGGTTTAGCAGATTTATTTTAGATAGAAAAAATCTTGAATAATGTCTGTTTCTTCCCATACGCATACTCTTTACTATACTCAGCATTGGCTAGTGTTTTAACCCAGTCAAGAACCGTTCATGGTTTCTTATATTCATATTTCAATTATTATCTGTTGCTCTCGGCTTTGCTCATACTTACCCGTGATGTACTTTACAAACTTTTTCATACCTAATTACTTTACCAATGAAGATTCTAAAACATGTTGCCCTACGCTCGATATTCTCCTGTATCGTGAATGCATTTATAAAAATAAAAATTCGTATACACGTCACAGATCCGTGAAGGAATCGAACTCGTGATTTCGGTGACTGCGCAGTTGGCGTAGTCCGTTGTCCATGGTATTGTAATTATCAGGATGTTTGTTATGGGGAGTCCACGAGAGTATAATATTATACCATCCAAACTTTTTTAAGTAGGTATCTAGGAAAAACACTTGCGTCAATTCAGGGCAAGAAGTTAGTAGAAAATAAAACACAATATTTATATAAATATTTACATTTTATTCGTTTTTCTCATCAGTTGAGAACTCCCAACATGCTGCTGTATTGGACTTTAGTGAACAATTTTAAAATCAGTGAGGATACTACTTCGACATGCTGGACAGATAGTAATAACAGTTTTGAAAAGCATGATTTCATTGACACACATTTAGATAACGCTGAAATTAATAAACAATATTATGCATTGAGGGTGCGGGTTCGAAACCTACCAACGGCAAGTACCAATGTGACTTTTTCCGAGTTATATGTACTTTCTAAGATTATCTAAACACCACTGACAAACAGTGAAGGAAAACATCATGAGGAAACCTGGGCTTATAATTTCTAATTATAAGTCTGTAATCGACAACCCGCATTGAGCAAGCATGCTGATTAATGCTCAAACCTTCTCCGTGTGAGAAGAGGCTTTGCTTAGCAGTGGGCATTTATAGGCTGTTGATGATGATGATGATGATTATGCATGCTACACCTTAGGATTTAACTGTGTAGTTCCACTGTCAATAGACGTCGCGGTAGGCCCAGAAGATGGCGGGATGAGCTTTGATGCCTATAAACAGGATTGGCCACAGAAAGCTTTAGGTAGGCCTTAGCCCTGCAGTGGGACGTCAATGGCTAAAATTAAAAATGAACAAATAAATAAGTTCGACTGTACAGGTCGTATGGACGTATGATTTAACTGTTAAAATGTGTAGCCGCTATTAACCTCTTGTCCCGCATAGATCATGTTCCGGCTACCTAAATTAGCTTTAGGTTAATTCATATTCTCAAAGGATTTTTGGCAGAAAATGCATGTTCAATATAGATGCTTGAGTTCAATCGTTTAAAGAATATTAATTACACAGTAACACCGCTCACTGACTTCAAAATTTAAATAATAATATAATAAAATACTAAATGAAAGGTCAGTATAAATTGACTAAATTACAAAAATGATGAAGTAATTACTCTAATTTTGACTAACAATAACATTATTCAGTCAAATACAGCAACATATTACTAGAAACTTGAAAATAATCATATATACAGGTTGCATCAGTCATTTTAGAAAAATCCTTAATTATACACTATCAACGAGGAAAGAATATGTATTTAAACAGTTCAATAATTAACGAACATAACTTTTAAAACTATACTGCAGCAAGTTGCTTTTTCCAATAGCTAAATATGTAGTGTAAATGTTTTTTTACGTTGTCCAGATGGCGCCACTAGCGTTTATTGTCTGGTCAGCCAAAATAAACTGCTTAAATACATCTTCTATTAAAGGAAGCGTCGATTCATATCCCTAAACTTAAAAACGAACTAAAAATTAAACTCTATTGTGTGTTTGTAAAAGTATTGCAATTTGTAATAACTCTTTCTTTTATACTAATTCCTCTTTATTGGCAAAACATTAAGGTTGAAAATTGTGTACGCGTCTGAATGAAACATTATTTTTGCAAACACACATATTCGGAGGGAAATTCGTATGATTCAAGTTCGGTACTAATAAAAATATTTCATGAAACTGCTACAATTCATACTAAAGCTCTTCAATTTCAAAATAAACAAGTATTTTGTATACAAAGCCTATAACCTAACTTGTATTTTTTTTTAATTTGCGCATTATAATTCATTATGAAGTCTCATTATAGCTTTTATTCTGCAGAAACTTTATTTACGGAGATTTCCACGCCTGAAAAATAGCGAGGTCTATCTAGGCATCCACCTTAACTTAACCCTTTGTATTGTTAAGTGGCATTTACGGTTTGGTGGAAAATCGTCGGCTTAGGGGTTCCTTCAATTTTAGAAGGGATTGATGAAAACGGGCATTAGCGTTCCATACTTTTTTGAAGAGGGAAGACCATCCAATGACTTCTCCCGCCTGGGTGAGGCGAGCGGGAGTGTCACTCTTACTGACTAAAAATCACTCCGTTCCTACTCCTGCTCTTCAAACCGGTGCCCCGACAATCCGTTAAGCCCTCCGCGGTTCAGTGTCGGCATCAGCCCTATTGGGCAGCATCTCATATTTAGCAGTTAGTTTTAAGTTTTTGACTGCCAATAGAAAACTGTTAAAGGCAAATCCTCTGCTAACTCTGGTCACCGCCTCACCGGTGACTCCTATGGTGTTTAACATGTTAAATACTATTATATGTATACAGCGGAAGAGTTTTTTTTTGTTTGTTTGTTTGAACGCGCTAATCTCCGTAACTACAAGTCTGATTTGAATAATTATTTTTGTGTTGGATAGCGCATTTATCGAGGATGGCTATAGGATATAAAATATCACGCTACGACCAATAGGAGCTGAGCAGAGCGTGTGAAACCGCGCGGAAGTAGCTAGTGTTGAAATAAAAGTAAAACTATAATTTTTAACCCATTGTTAAAATAAAGACCATTCATGCATTAAAACCTTAATATTCTATGGAAGTCTTATTGTGATAGTAAGATCATACGAATACCCCTCAACTTAATATAAAAATTATATTACAATACATAATATTTTTTGGCATTTATATGGTACAAAATTTACAAATTCCTTTTGCCATTTAAAGTACAACCTCTTTTTTAAGGAACTCTAATATATTTTTTTTACTTTTCAGTTAAGGTTGAGTCTGAAATTATTTATCTAACTAAGGTTTAAAGATGTGTAAGCATCTCTAATTATCCAATTTTCGGATAAAGATCTCTTCTCAGACGGAGAAGGCATGAGCATTAATCACCACACTTGCCTAAGGCGAATTGGCGACATCAGACTTATGTTTGAAATTACATATAAATCCAGGTTTCCTCACGATCTTATCCTACACCGCATAGCAGTGGTGTCTAAATAATCTTAGAAAATACATTTCAAAGAAAAAACTATGTTTCCAGATACCACATTCCAACATATTCCTATTAAAATTCCAGCAAGTTAAAAAAAGAGGTTGTTCTTCCAACGGAATATTTTTCATAATAGACTAAAAATAAGGAAGAAAAATAAATTGTTTCTAGATATAAACACATTATTGATTTCATTGCATTATTCTCAGCTTAGATGTTTAAAATACAAGTTATTTTATTTATGTTGTACATTGCATAATGCTGGACATAGATCGACCCCTAAATGGCTTGAAACTAGTCGAGTTACGAGAGTAAATCGTAACTTCTTTGATTTTGAAGTACATTATTGTTAAATGACTGCCTCGTTGACCGAGTGGTCGCCAGTGCGACTGCCGGGTAAGTGGTCTCGGGTCAGGCAAAGTATTACTGGGTTTATTTTAAAATTCTCAGTAGTAGCACGGAGTCTGGAATTGTGCCCGGTATATGGCAACAGGGTCACCGCCTATTACACGGGACTCATAACATGAATAGTGAAAATTGGGTATTACATTGTACAGTGGCATTAAGTGCCGTAATGTGCACATCTGCCTCTGGGGATAAAAGGCGTGATGTCAAGTTATGGTAATATTGTTAAACACACTAAGCTGAGACCTCGGTTAATTTAAACAAAGCAAACGGTGCGAAAACATAAACATATGTGCCAATAATACAATTTCGTTAGTGAACAGAACTGTAAACAGCAATGTTAAACTAAAATTACTTTTTTAACGTAAAATTCCTTTGGTCTATTCCAAAGCTTATTAAAATATAGAAAGAAATTAAAACATACTCTTAACTTGATCACTATGCGAGTCTGTTCCACAGTCTTGCATTATTCAAAATTCTTGCTTCAAATATTAAAACGTCTTGCTTCGTCGCTTGATAGCGTCCGTGCTTATAAATCACTATTAAAAAATTCATAATTGAATAACTATTCGAACTTGAATCACTTAGGTTATCACTTTTAACACATAGTTTTTGATATTTTTGCGCGATTTTATGTCACTTTTTAATAGTCTTGCATCACAATTCATAAGTCTTGTTCCACTGATTTTCTTGCTTCATTCGTGGGTGTAGAAGATTAGTTGTGGGTTCGAGTCGTCCGGAGACATTTCTAGTTGGACGTATTGCGGCGTCGTTCGCGCTGACTCGTAGGAATTACCACCGTTGCGTGATAATGAATTTCTTGATCTGAAAAGAGGATTATATTGTTAAAATTACATGTAGGGTTTGAGTGTGGGAGAACTATACTTCGGAATGAATGGGCTGGCTTGACCGGAGTGATACCACGGCCTCACTGAAAACCGACGTAAAACAACGCTTGCGGTGTGTGAGTGAGGTTACCGGAGGCTCAATTACTCTCCTCAGTCTCCCCAATCCCCGAATCCCCCCACAATCATCAAATTCTCAATTCCTAAAGGCAGGTAACGCACTTGTAACGCCTCTGGTGGGCGACGCCGATTGCTTACCTTCAGGGTGATCCGTCTGCTCGTTTTACCAGCTTATTCCATAAAAAAGGGTATAATAAAAACTGATTCAACAATGAATAAACTGTTTTGTACTAAAGATTTAACCTCTTGAGTAATAACAGAATAGAAAATACATTGTGTTGTGTCTCGCGTAGATCTACGTTCCAGCATACCACGGATTAAAGTTAAAACAGACAGTTTACGCCAAAAGTCCCGCTCTCGCTTATCTAAGTATTGTATTCTTATACGATAGAATAAAAAAATACAACGTCTAATTGGCTAACTGATGTACTAATTAATATATTTTTAATTGACTGTACGGTTGGTGCGGTGGCTGGGCAACTGGCTGCCGTGCAACGTGTCGCGGGTTCGATTCCCGCACGAGACAACACTTTGTGTGATCCACAAATTGTTGTTTCGGGTCTGGGTGTGATGTGTATGTGAACTTGTATGTTTGTAAACGCACCCACGACACAGGAGAAAATCCAAGTGTGGGGCAACGTTTTAAAAAAAAAATTTCATCCTCAAACCCTGTCAACAATCACATTCCGCCTGCTTGTTATAGGCGTAGTTTAGTATTTAGTTACTTTTTTTATGGAGAGAAAATCATTCATGACTTGTCCCACCTTGGGTGAAGCGAGAGAGTGTCAGACTCTTACTGACTAAATAACACCCAGTTCCTACTCCTACTTCGAGCTGCAGTCCCAGTAACCCGTTAAGTTGTCCTCGGCTCCGGGTTGAATATGTTATCTGGATACATACATACATACATAACTTCACGCCTGTCGCCCATGGGGGTAGGCAGAGACTAAGGAACGCCATTGTTATCTGGATCTGGGCAATTATTTACTCACTTTTATTTCGAGGGGGGAAAATCATTGAATGACTTCTCCCACCTTGGGTTAGGCGAGAGGGAGTGTCAGACTCTTAATGACTAAAAACCACCCCATCCCTACGACTGCTCTTCGAGCCGGGGCTCCGTATCGGGCATCAGCCATATTGGGCCCCATCTGTGGGGGTCTGAGGGCTCACTCGGGTGTGGAATTAGTAACTCACTTGGCCTTAGCGTGTGTAAGTATATGTGACTTGAGGTTGGTGCTCTGCGCGAACTTCTTGTTGCATCCGTCGAACGGACACACGTACGGACGGTCGCCTGTGTGGATGCGGACGTGCGTTCTGGAAGAAGATAGATATTATTAGTTAATTTATCTGTTTAGCGCTTTATAGCCTAGTTATAAAGTGAATGGACGAACTTTCTAGATGGTCTAATACCATCAAATATGATTAAAAGCTCGTACACAAAACTGCGATGCGACGTCGCATCGCAAAAATGCGCGAGCTCCCTCTACGCATTGCAAGAACTTGCGAATTGATTCACATCGCGCCTCAAATTCTTATCTTCCCAAAACCTTCTTTGTTTCTTTTTCCTGTATCTCCTAAGCAATAACAGAAGTGCACACTTCTTTTTACGATTCATGTCACGACCTAGTTTTCAATTTAAAATACGTTTAGTACGGTTGACGGTCGTCGAAGAAATGGTCGCACTGGGAGACGCCTTGTTGTGTCTTACCCACAGAAAGTGCAAAACTTGTAACTTTCGTGAGACATACTAAACAAATTATTATGTTTTCGGCTTACTCACGTAATTATTTGATGAGGAACTCGAAATTCAGCTCATGAGCATGAGCCTCTAGCATGGCTTGAAACTAGTTGAGTTCCTCGTCAAATTATTACGTGAGTAAGCCGAAAACATAATAATTTAAGCGTATTTAGACTGTCATCATCAGATGGCTTTACAGGTACTTAGGTATCGTCATGAGGTAGTGTTCACATGTCCAGTCAACAAGGATGTAGCGAGGTTGAATACGGGGGGTAAACGGAACATTCCCAAAACGCTGACAAAAATAATTAATTTTTACAATTTGTATCGTTTCTATTTTCGTATTATTCATGCAACATCAGCCTTGAGTTGATTACAACTATTATAATTTATAACATAAAAGAAACAAACATTGACTGTACGGTTGGCACGTTAGCTGGGCACTGGCTTCTGCGTAACGTGTCGCGGGTTCGATTCCCGCACGGAACTCTTTGTGTGATCCACAGATTGTTGTTCCGGGTCTGTGTGTCATATGTATGTGAACTTGTATGTTTGTAAACGGACACACGACACAGGAGACAATCCTAGTGTGGGGGCAACGTAAGAAAAAAGAGAAAATTACTTACTTATAGAAAGATAAATCTCGCTTGCCATCACCTGTCGGCGTTCCATTTACACCCGATATATACTATAAGCCTTACCTTAAGTTAAAATCTAAGGAGAACCTCTTCCCGCAGCCCTCGAATGTGCACTGGAAGGGTTTCTCGCCGGTGTGGACTAGTTGATGGCGTTTTAACTTTGAACTTTCTACGAATGCTTTGCCTGGAATCAAATAAATACATTTATTTTAGAAACATTGAATTGGAGTGTCGACTTTCAAGTGAATTTATTTCAGTAAATAGGCTACTAGGCAGCACTTTTACATGTCAATTTCATCAAGCGAACGATGAGGTCGACATTTCCTAACTGACTACTCTGAGAAGAAATGCCGAATCAAACTCAGAGGTCCGTCTCTTTTAAAGTCCAGACAAATGTGTATAAAAGATTATGTATGAGAACCGTGCAAGTTCTTTCTGTAGTGTCCTTTTGAGGAAAGGTCCACAACAGTTTGAGCGGACCCGCTCTGAAGGCAGTACGCATGTGTCGGTTTACAATCATTACATTTACATTTTTTTTCCTAGTCAAATTCAATACCTCAGAATAACAAATACTTCTAAGTTTGGGAGAGCCATGCTTCGGCACGAATGGGCCGGTCCGACCGGAGTGATACCACGGCCGAGCAGGAAACTGACGTGAAACAACGCTTGCGTTGTATTACGTTGCAACCGGCGTCTCCCATGGACATCCGGAACACCAGGGGCGTTACAAGTACGTTATCGGCCTTTTGAGGATTAGGAATTTGAGGATTGTTGAAGATTCAGAGATTGGGGAGATTAGGGAAGGGGGGGGGGGAGGGATAATTGGGCCTCCGGTAACCTCACTTACACGACAAAATACAAGGCAAGCGTTGCTTCACGTCGGTCTTCTCCTCAGCCGTGATATCACTCCGGTCGAGCCGGCCCATTCATACCGAAGCCTGGCTCTTTTACTTGTATGATTGTGTACAAGCGCTACTTATTATTAATTTAGTAAAATTTTATTTTAAATATACAATGTACACATACCACATTCAGCACAGACGTGTACCCTGGGTCCGTGTGTGTGTAAATGTTTCCTCATGGCCGAGTTGTCTCTGAACATCTTCGTGCAGCCTTTGTGGGGACACGCTGAAATGTAAATGATATACTTAATTTTCGATTTATTCTAGCAATTTATTCAGAAATAAGTGTGCTATTTGACTCGAAAATATGATGACGTCATAAGTTAGTTTTTGGTACAAAATTCATAGAACAATATCGTTTTTGACGTTGCGATAAAAGTATTGAATTTGATTAGTCGTAAAATACCGTATTGTGCCCGGTAATTATGACATGGCAATAGGCTCACCCACTATTATATGGAACTCATAACATAAATAGTGAAAAGTGGGTGTTACATTGTACAGTGGCATTAAGTGGTGTAATGTGCACCCCTGCCTGATCAGGGATAAAATAATGTTAAATTATTCGCATCGCACGTGCCACCCGACGAGAAATACCTCTTTGAGAATTATATGGCGTGATGTTTTCATAATGTACTATGAGCTTGTATGCGTTTATGCGTTCGAAGTTTGCTTTTAGCAATGTTTCACCAGTTATTTTTTGTTTTAACATTTGTATTTCTTTGAAAACTATTGTATTACCAAGAACCATTTTACTTCGGTACGAAAACGAAATAGATTCATGGCGTATAGTTTAGAATTCAGAGGACATGGGCAATTAACACAAAGTAACACATGACATCACGCCTGTTATCCCCGATAGGGCAGGCAGAGGTGCACATTACGGCACTTAGAGCCACTATACAATGTAACACCCACTTTTCACTATTTATGTTATGAGTCCCATGTACTAGGGAGTGAGCCTATTGCCATATACCGGGCACAACTCCAGACTCCGTGCTACTACTAAGAATTTCACTCGGCCAATGAGGCGGCACACAAAGTAAAAGATAGTTATACATAGAATCTCACCAATAGTTCTGTCAGATGACTCCGGCATGGGTTTCTTTAGTCTTATCTTGTGCCCGGGCCGCGCAAACTCCGCCAGCTGTTTCGGGTCTGACAAGTCTAAGCCTGGAAATAAATATATATATGTTACTTCTCAATCCATCACATGTTTTTCTGATATATCTGGACCTTTGATTGGTCTCTATCTCTGATCATATTGCTAAGTATGGAGATTATAGGACGGACAGAACATCAGAGGCGTTACAATTATAAATGCATTACCGGCCTTTGGGGATTAGGAGTTTGAGGATTATTGGGAATTCGGGGATTGGGGAGATTGAGGAAGGGTATTTGGTCCTCTGATAACCTCACTCACACAATTTTTTCACGTCGGTTTTCTGCTCGGTACAATCACTCCGGTCGAGCCGGCCCATTCGTGCCGAAGCATGGCTCTCCCACACTTCATAAAGATATAACTAGACCAATAGTTTAAGTATTTATTAGCTTACCTGGCATAGATTCACTTCCTAATATACTCTTCTTGCCGGTCATATACTCTGTGTAGTCGGGGTCCGGCTCGGGATTCGAACCGTCATCTGGAAATAGAAAAATATAGTTATAGTCACTTAGCCATAGAAGAATGTGGTGTAAATCGAAGACTGGCGTTAAATTTTAATCGATTTTTGTGCTTGAAACTAAGTATTCATGTATTAAAGATAGTCCCCCTCTCCTCTCTGTTGCCTCGTTGGCAGAGTGGTCCCAAGTGCGACTGCCGGACAAAATATTACTGGGTTTTAAAAAAAAATCTTAGTAGTGGCGGTGTTCCAGGTGTCCATGGGCGACGTCGATTGCTCACGATCAGGTGATCCGTCTGCTCGTTTACCGGCTATGATATTTATTACCATTATATTTTTGTTTTGTAACATTTATTTGCTGGCGTTGTTGAAAAGATACAACAACAAAATGTAACTTCAAATTAAAAGTCTACTGAAATTCGTAGCTTAATAGTTTCTACTTTTTTCATTAAATAATGACTGAATCTCTTAACCCCATAAAGATTTGTTATTCAAACAATGTTTATACGAATATTTGTATTGTACCTTTCGTGAGACATACTAAAACTAGTCGAGTTCCTCGTCGAATTACTACGTGAGTAAGCCGAAAACATAATAGTTTTTTTACAAAGTTTATCTACAAAAAACCTTTCATTGTTTCATTCAATCGTCATCAATAATCCGCCCTCTCGTGTATGAGAAGCGGGCAATTTACACCTCTGTGCCACTATGACCACTTTCATTTCAAGAAAGTTTAAATGAACAAAACATAACATCAACATTTTTATTCCCGAAGCGGTAGGCAGAGGTACACATTACGGCACTCAATGCCACTGTACAACGTAACAAACACCCACTTTTCACTATTTATGTTATGAGTCCCATGTAATAAAGGGTGAGCCTATTGCCATATACCACAATTTCAAAATCCGTGCTACCACTGAGAATTTAAAAAACCCAGTAATGCTTTGTCGGATTTAGGAATCGCACTTGCGCCCACTCACAACGAGGCAGTCAAGGCAAGGAAGGTTAAATAAATATAGTTTTTACCATCATCTTCGCCAGTAGCCCACATGGTGACTGAGAACTCTCCCTCCATGGTCTTGATCTGGACCTGCTTCTGTTCCCAGCGCCGCGCCGGCCCACGACCTGACACTCCATCCATTAGACCTACTGGGACTTCACCTGAAATTGTTGAAATTTTCATAAGTAAAGCTAACATAACATAACATCACGCCTTTTATCCCCGAAGGGGTAAGCCAGAGGTGTACATTATGCCCCTGTACAATGTAACACCCACTTTTCATTATACATGTTATGAGTCCCATGTAATAGGAGGTGAGTCTATTGCCATATACCGGGCACAATTCCAGACACCGTGCTACTACTGAGATTTTTTTAAAAACCCAGTAATACTTTGCTCGACCCTGGGAATCGAACCCGAGACCCCTTTCCCGGCAATCGCACTTGCGACCACTAGGCCAACGAGGCAGTCAGTAAAGCTAATAAGAAATATTAAATTATAAATTACTAGCGACCCGCCCCGGCTTCGCACACCGCAAATGCATTTTATTATACATATAAACCTTTTTTAAGAATCACTCTATCCATTAAAAAAGCCGCATCAAAATTCGTTGCATAGTTTTAAAGATCTAAGCATACATAGGGACAGACAGACGGCGGATAGCGACTTTGTTTTATACTATGTAGTGATTCTATGTTTATAAATGACTTTACTATTAACCAGTTTTTGCCCGCGACTTCGTCCGCGTAACATATGATTCCTGTTTTAACCCATAGGAGTATTTAATCGGGATAAAAATCCTATCACCTAAGTCAGCCCACACCCTGCTTGTATACCATCATCAAAATCCGTTCAGTAGTTTCAGCATGATTTTTTTAAGGGGGGAAAATCATCGAATGACTGCTCCCGCCTGGGTGAGACGGGAGGGAGTGTCAGACTCTTACTGACTAAAAACCACCCCGTTCCTTCTCCTGCACGTCGAGCTGGAGCCCCGGTTACCCGTTAGGTTTTCCGCGACGAGTTTCACCATGATTGGAGGACAAACAGTCAAACGAAGAACACGATTTTAGATTTAATCATACAGGTAAATGGTTAAGTTTCAAACTTACCGATAGGCATTAAATGCTGTATATTATTAGCGTTATTGTTGACATTTGAACGAGGCCTGCCGCGCGCTCTGCTGGAACAATCAGGCAAACTGTTATAGAAACAAAAAAAAAAACATATTATGTAAGGAAATGATGGTAGCAGAGATTATAATACAATAATAACAACATAACATAATAAAAAAAAACCTAATAGTATTTTGTTTGACCCGGGAATCGAACCCGGATCTTTATTCTGCTGATACTATTGGTAGTTTTTTGTGATTGTGATTTGTCGTTGACCACTATCTCGCCTGATGGTGCACGATGATGCGGTCTACGATGGAGTACGTCGTCCCATAAGCAACCTATTCACTCGGGCCTTGAAGACACCTGGGTTATACCCTTCAGGAAATGTGTTTCCAGCCTAGGAGGGTTACTCTCGAATCCAATTCCGATCGATCGACATTGGTTTTGCGAAATTTCGTACTCTTGAGTTGCAATACTAGCGCCTATTGCATCTGTATTGCGTGGATATTGAATTAACTAAATGGTATTAAGTTTGTCTTTATATTCCGTACTCTGAATGTTATTGTAATAGCTACGATTGTGGTTGTATAGTGTTGACATTGAATAATTATTTAGATTTTATTGGATTGAAATTGCATTAACATTGAGATTGGTTTCAAGAGTAAGCACCCTGAAGGGTATAATTGTCAAATATGACTGCTCCCGCCTGGGTGAGGCGGGAGGGAGTGTCAGACTCTTACAGACTAAAAACCACCCCGTTCCTTCTCTTGCACGTCGAGCCGGAGCCCCGGTAACCCGTTAGGTTCTCCGCGACAAATCCACTCTTTAGCGGTTCGTTACCTACTCAAGTTATGTAATAGTTCTTTTACCAACTACTTAAAACAACAGACTTCAAATCCCCTCTTTTTCTTAGCAATTAATATGTGTACTAAAACCTTATCCTAAGAGGAAAAAACACTTATCTGAAAACCGTATCAAAATCGGTGCAACCAATCGCGAGATAACCACGCACAAACATACACACATACAAACAGGTGAAAATGGGAACCTCCTTTATTTGAAGTCAGTTAAAAGATAGTTATCTATACTAATATTATAAAGCTGAAGAGTTTGTTTTTTTGTTTGAACGCGCTAATCTCCGTAACTACTGGTACGATTTGAAAAATTCTTTCTGTGTTGGATAGCCAATTTATCGAGGAAGGCTAAAATATCACGCTACGATTAATAGGCGCCGAGCAGAGTGATTGAAACCGCGCGGAAATAGCTAGTCCTTACTATTATAAATGGGAAAGTGAGTTTGTTTGTTCCGCTTTCACGCCGTAACTACTAAACCGATTGCTTTGAATTTTTGCAAACGTAAAGTTAGAAGTCTGGATTAAATAATAGGGTAACTTTTTATCCCGGAAAAATTTGATATTCCCGAGGGAAAACAAAAGTATTAGTATAGATGGCGCTGTGTGTATTGGTATATGTCACATAGGCTACTTTTAGCCTTTTGTGACGCGAGCGAAGCCGCGGGTAAAAGCTAGTAATAAAATAAAAGTCACCTGCTAGTTGAAGGCGGCACTGTGTACAGCGGATCGTAGTGCGAGTCTGTGCTCGCATTCAGCACTTCCTCGCCAGAAATGCCTGGCAATATGACCTCTTCGCTGCCCACTGAAATTTTATAGTCTGTCAGCAATGGCCGACATGATTAAATATGATTAGTTTTTGATGTGATGATGTGGCATGAATGGTAATTAGAGATGCAACGAATATTCTGTTACTATCCGGTATCCGGCTTATACGACTGTTATTTACTATCCGGCCGGATACCGGATGGTAATTTACTATCCGGCCGGATACCGGATAGTAAACTTGGTAGATTTTATACATGAAATCTAAATAAAGACACAGTTGTAATTGAATCCTTTTTTTTTAAACAATTTTAACTTTTTATAATAACAAGTCAAAACCTGCACGGCGAGCGGCGTGGCTGTACGCGACACGCACCTACAAAACTTAAAAATGTAGGTATCACACTGCCGGCCGAATACCGAATATTCAGGCTGGTGGTCAGGCCGAATATCCGGTATTCGGTATCCTGCCAATCAACTCTTCGTTGCATCTCTAATGCATGCAATCTTAAACTATTATTTAAGCTGAACTACCGGTTCGATTTCAAACAGTCTTTTTCTATCGGAGAGTTCATTTAAAGAGAAAGGATATAGGGTAAAGGCTAAAACATCAAGCTACGATCAATAGGAGCAGAGCAGAAAAGTTGCACTTGATAAAAGAAGCAATAACTTCAAACCAAATTATTGTTGAAGTTAATTTGTCTAAAATGCTTAAGTGATGATTTTAACAACTTTTTTATACAAAATAGAATATTAACCGGAAACAACAAAATGATTTTAACGGCTTACGAAATCTTTCGAGGATGCTCGACTAGTTTCGAACCAAACCGGGGTTCATAAAAATAATCGAGCATCCTTAAACATTACTTAAATATTGTGATAGTGACTTTACCTTCCTCGAGGTGCTGCATACCAATAACTTGCTCTTCCACCTCCTCATACTGATCATCTGTGATGTACTCCTCGTACTGACCAGTCTCTATCTCTTCGTACTGAAAATATAAAAAAGTTCAAGTTAGTCAATCTTCTATGTAAGTACATAAATATGAAATTTCATTCGATAGTCTTGTACCTTTTGAACGCCAAAGCAAAAACACATGAACCTGCCAATTGCTATCGACGCCGAGCCACAAAATCCGCGCAAATTTCTACGAAAGAAATAAGGATTCCAATAGGGAATCAATTGTTGATTTCATGTTTCCAGTTCCGCCTTTTCTGTTATGTATTTGTGTCGTTGGCGTCCAGGGACATTGTTCCCTTGTCACGTGTTTGTGACATTGGTACTCAAAAGGTATAAAAAAAACCCAGTAATACTTTCCCCTTCCCGGGAATCGAACCCCTTGCCCGGCAGTCGCACTTGCGATCACTCGGCCAACGATGCAGACTTTGAAACATTTTTTCATATTATAATGTTGAACAGGGGGCTTACTCTTGAATCCAATTCCGATCGATTGACATTGACATTGTGAAATTTCGTACTCTTGAGTCGCAACACTAGCGCCCATTGCACCCGTATTGCGTGGATATTGAATGAACTAAATGGTATTGAGTTTGGCTTTATATTCCGTACTCTGAATGCTATTTCAACAGCTACGGTAGGGGTTGTATAGTTTTGACATTGAATCATTATTGAGATTTTATTGGATTGAAATTGTATTGACATTGAGATTGGTTTCAAGAGTAAGCACCCAGGTCTGTGGACGTCTTGTGACTGATTTATAATGATGATTTATTATTACCTTGACTCCAACTTGATCATCGCCCTCAATCTCCACCATAGACCCGTGCGTCCCTATCTCCACCTCGCACATGATCTCCTGATTCATCATATTGATGTGTCACCTGAAATAAACAATCACATTATAATTATTACTAAAATAAATAATATTAGTCACTGACAGACTAAGAGATTACTTCTACAGGACAGAGTGCCTATTGTGAATTTTTCACCTATTCAATGATGTTAACGAAAATTAATACATAACATAATATCACGACTTTTATCCCCGAAGGGGTAGGCAGAAGTGTACATTATGCTACTGTACAATGTAACACCCACTTTTCACTATTTATGTTATGAGTCCCTTGTAATAGGGGGTAAGCCCATTGCCATGTACCGGACACAGTTCCAGACTCCGTGCTCCTACTGAGAATTGATAAAAACCCAGTAATACTTTGCCCGACCCGGGAATCGAACCCGAGACCTCTTGCCCGGCAGTCGCACTAGCGACCACTCGGCCAACGAGGCAGTCAGTCATAATTTTCGTCAGTTAACGAAAATTATGATTTGTATAACGCGGCAAACGGTGCGTTTACAGGGGTCTAGTTGCCGTCCCGTGCCGATTTCATTCTGTACAGCGCCGCCCATGGACACCGCCACGGGCGGCGATAAACGGCAACACCAGAGGCCTTAGTACGAGCTTGTTCTACGTTTAAAGTAATAGTAACGGGTACGCATTCGGCGCTGTGATTGGTTGCTTCATTAGTGCCGGCCAATCAGAGTGCCGAACGCGTACTCGTTTCGAATACTTTAAACGTACCTAAATTAAACTCGTACTAAGGCCTCAGAGGAGTGTGTCAGTCAGTCTTTTGGGGATTATTATGTAGATACCTACATATTCTTGTATGCAACAGTGTCCTATAATCATCATAACATCACGCCTTTTATCCCCGAAAGGGTAGGCAGAGGTGCACACAAAGTAACACCCACTTTTCACTATTTATGTTATGAGTCTCATGTAGTGTCCTATTAATGTTTGAATAATACAGTTACTTATAACTGTGATCCTCGAACGATCCTGCCAAGCGTGGCTAGCGCTTTTATAATCTTTTCCTCTTAATTAAATTTATTATTATATTATATCTGTTATAATAACAATATCCTGTCTGGACAAAAATGAAATGATTACAGTTATACCATGAATAAAACACAACCATTTTTTTTCCTCTAAAAATCCTAAATTACCACAGTTAGTTGTTTTTCTTTAGGGGGGCAAACGAGCAGACGGATCTCATGGTGTGGTCAGATAAGTTTTAAGTGTGTTGTCATAATGCAAAGGGATGGGTTGATTCAGTAACTTGTGGGGTGATTCAGTGAATACAAATGTTGTTTCATGCCAGTTTACTATAAGGCCGTGGTATCACTCCGTTTGAGTCAGCTCATTGGTATTATATTTGTGATATTTAAGACACACATAGTTTTTTTTTTGATGAAAATCATTCAATGATTACTCCCGCCTTGGGTTAGGCGAGAGGGAGTGTCAGTCTCGTATTGACTAAAAACCACCCCGTTCCTACTTCTGCATTTCGAGCCGGATCCGTAAGGTTTAGGGACTGAACTGGAGAGAAATATAGAAAGAACGAAGCTTATGTTCGGTAGTAGACAAAACGGTTTGATGATAATTGGCCTTTTTGCGCAGTCTTCACTGTTTAAATTGTTTTTGTGTGCGTTATTGTACTTTGTGACGGTGAGCCAATAAACAAATTTTCTTTCTTATAATAAGAACCATACAAAATGTAGTGTACAAAATTGATTACATAGTGTATGTCAATACGAAATATCTGTTAATTACACACAGAACTAGGTCATTTAGGTCGAAACTGAGAAGCAATTCAAGGGCACACAAAATCAATTGCCAATTCACTTATTGGCTATAACTTTACACTTGTAATACATAACATATATAGGTACATAACTTCACACCTGTCTCCCCTGGGGGTAGGCAGAGACTATGGAACGCCAATTGCTACGATTCCTACATACCTCTTTATCTTCATCAACAGTCATCAATCTTTTTATGCATGCTCGTCGGTTAAGAGTACTTTTAATTTGGCCCTTCTTTAATATATAATATCTAATTGTAATATTACGGTTATTTACTCTCCAATCGATTTTTTGTTTAGTAGTAACCAGCATAAAGTCTGGAATTGGATATAGGCTCACCTCTATGACATGGGAATAAATAACTTAAGGTAAAAGTGGATGTTACATTGATAGTGACTGACTATTGAAAAAGTATGACATTATGTACTCTTTTATCCCCTATTTTTTTTTAAGGGGGAAAATCATCCAATGACATCTCCCGCCCGGGTAAGGAGAGTGGAACTGTCTCTTACTGACTAAAATTATAACATAACATAACATCACGACTTTTATCCCCGAAGGGGTAGGCAGAGGTGCACATTATGGCACTTAATGCCACTGTACAATGTAACACTCACTTTTCACTATTTATGTTATGAGTCCCATGTAATAGGGGGTGAGCCTATTGCCATATGTCGGGCACATTTTCAGACTCCGTGCTACTACTGCGGTTTTTACAAACCCAGTAATACTTTGCCCGACCCGGGAATCGAACCCGAGACCCCTTGCCCGGCAGTCGCACTTGCGACCACTCGGCCAATGAGGCAGTCGCGGTTTTTACAAACCCAGTAATACTTTGCCCGACCCGGGAATCGAACCCGAGACCCCTTGCCCGGCAGTCGCACTTGCGACCACTCGGCCAATGAGGCAGACTAAAATTACTTAGAAAAAAAAAATCATCAAGTTATAATTCAATTGAGCTAACATAAGAAAGGAATAGATGTATCACTCAATTATAATATAATGAAAATGAAGAGCTATTGTTCTCAACACAATTACTGATATAACTCGTTGGGAAGTGTTTCTTATTTATTGTTTAATTTATCAAAGTACAGTTGTATATTAAGGCCGGTACTACAGATTGATACACAAGAGATCTCTTCTCAAATATAGTTAAATAGGGATGCAAATATATTTAACAGATGTGTGCATCCTTTTTCAACTATCCCTTTTTTTTAATGGGAAGAATCATCCAATGACTTCTCCTACCTTCAGTCAGGTGATAGTGTCAGATTATTACTGACTAAAACTACCCCGTTCCTACTTCTACTTCGACCTGAAGCCCCAGTAACCTGTTAGGTTGTTTACAGCTCCGGTTTCCAACTATGCTTGAGCAGAGATTTCTATTAGAGTACCATTCTATAATAAAGTTTAGAGATAGAAGATTGACACAGCTAGTGTGTAATTTGCAGTTGCATCTGGTGCTTAGCTCCTATTGGTTTTACGGTCTTCGTCAATAGTAAGTACTTCTTCAGAGAAGAACAAGCAAGAAACTCTGTAATATTAACATATGGAGTTTCTTGCTCATCTTCTCCATAGGAATCTACACCTTGCAATGAGCAAATAGCTTCACTTTAAATTTTTGTTGACGTTCAAAAGTGCGTTTTGGTCTAATTGAAATTAATGATTTTGACTTTGACTTTAACCCATAAATTACCAAGCGGTCACCGGTGACCGCTTTCCACTAATATTACATTACATTATAGACCTTATTTGTAATGTTTAGAGACTACTTTTGTATGACCAAATTTAGGGGGTGGATTTCAACGGGTTAAATAATAACCAAACATTTTTAGACGACAAGTTGTTAAGGATGTTCCCGTGTTCAACCAAACAACTAAATTCCTAAGCATTATAATTTTACTATAGGTGAGTTATATATGAAATATGTCATATATTTGTCTCTACTTAGCTAGAATTTAGTATGTTTGTAAACTGTTGTTTGTAAACTTATTGTGTTCTGGCTTCGCATCAACCGCTTCATTTCTCTGCACTTCTATGGTTGATTGTCAGAGAATGCCTTAAGGCATTAAGTCCGCCATTCACTGTCATCTTTGGTGAAGAAGTAATAAATAAATAAATAAACATACATAATTATCACGGGAAAAACTTTTTACGCTTTGACTGCCAATAAAAAAACTGTTGTAGGGAAATCCTCAGCTAACGTTGGTCACCTCTGACCCCCATAGCGTTTAATGTGTCTGGCGAAGACTATCACAGGCTTGTGTCTGGAGTTGCCTAGTTGTTTCATCAAGACACTTCTTTCTCTAGCTGCTAAATTTTTTGTATTTTGAAGTCAGTCAAAACATTTATTTAAATTAAACTGTCAAACACCAAGCGGTCACCGGTGACCGCAACCTATTGTTCTATAATTGTGTCTGCAAAACCGGTACTCGACGAGTTAAACCACAATTTGGTACTTTTGAAACATCAACAAATACAATAAATAATATTCTGTCAGTCAATCCGTCAGTGAAGCTAGGTGAAGCTAGGTGATTAGGCGATACAAAATGAAACTCAACTATTATTCTATGTATCTACTTATCTAGTTGAAAAGCATTTAAAAAAGCACTAATGTGGTAACTAGAATATACATTACAAAACATTTTTTTAATTCAAATTCCAAGAACATATTACAATTATTTGAGAAATAGAAATAGAAATTTATTCACAGGAATATGTGATACAATGGATTTTAGTCTAATTTTCAACAGTACTGTGTATTCCACCTTTTCCACGCATGCAAATGTTGCAAAATGAGTTGAATAATGAATTTAAATGTCTACCGAAGCAGAGGGTAATTGAAGGAAATGTGGATAGATTGATTGAAAAAAAAGCCTAGTAAAATCTCAGTCACCTGTCTGTTTCTGAAGTGTCTGAGACATCTGTTTCTGAAGTGGTCAATGGTGTTCAATTGGCTAAAAGGATAGATAGGACGGCCAATCGCTATTACGTATTCTTTCTTTTTATGTTGTCCCACATAATTATGGTTTTTCTCCTGTAGGTACAACAAAGGACAGGGAGTACATGATGTAATATGTATAACTTAAGATTTAGCTCTTGTTTATAAACAAGATGGCATCAATTAAAATACCTTATAAATCTTACTGAACTAACTATTATCTCTAAAAAGACAAACATACCAAATTATAGTTTAATTGAAATTAATGTTTTGACTTTGAAAAGGTTTGCAAAAGGTGTTCTTTTTACAAGTTTTTATCAATCCCCCAGTGGTTACCGGTGGCCACTCTCTCTCACTCCACTACAGACCTTATTTCCAATGTTTAGATACCACTTTTCAACTGACTTCAAAAAAAAGGAGGAGGCACCGACTTCTCACCTATCAGTGGGTGTGTAAGCTATAAGTACCTACATATGACCAATAAAAGTTGTTTTTGCTTTTTAGTTTTTACTTTTCATTTGTTTTTAGAGTTTTTGAAGTCAGTATTTTTAAACACAGGTTTTTATGTAGGAATGAATTTTGAAGATTTTCGGTAATTATTACTAAGTGATGATAATGTGTGTAGGTATGCATATGCATGAAGTGGAATCTTGCAGCGGAATTTTGAAGCAGATATCTTTAAACAATTGAGCTGAAGTTTTGTATTGCATAAACCTTTAGTTTGCATGACCATAAATTCTTAACTGCTTAAAAGTTTGTTTTTAATTTAAACTGTCAAACACCAAGCGGTCACCGGCAACCTATTGTTCTATAATTGTGTCTATAATGACATACTCGACGAGTTAAATTTATCTATACATAAGATTAAAATATCATGTTCAAAATAAACTCAACAATGATTACCTAATTAGAAATTGTAGAATGCGACTAACTGATATTTTCCTGTATTTATTAATAATGTAGGCATAATACTAGATAGCTAATTAGTAATTAGATTTTATGACATCGGTAATTAGGTAGATAATTGTGTAATTAATGCCTATTTAAAATTATGAGCGATTTCTTAGATGTGTGGCAATACTGTCCTTTTATTTGTTTATGACAATTGAATTAATGCCCTTTTAATTCATTAGTTATTTTATATCTATAGTTAATGATTTTAAATCACTAGTATGTTTAATGAGTCAAGTAATTTTTGGTAATTGGTACACAGGTACATATTATGTTTATTCATTTAGGCAACAACATTTGTTATTTTGTGTACACAAAAAAGTTTTTAATTACTTTAATCAAGTATCAAGTCAAATTATCATGTATTTATTTAACCTCATTTCTTAAACAATTTTATTTTAATTGTTTACCTTTCACAGCATTGTATTGTAAATTCAATTCAATTGTATGAAAACAAGTATCTAATCAGGCAGAATACAGACGTACCTTTGCCTGTACGATAAGATGACAAGAAAACAACAACCAATAGAGATTAGCAAAACATCACGAACAAAATAGTTGTAAATAAAACAGTTCATTATCATTTTCTGAGCCACAATGGATAAGTTTTCCATATTTTATTTTTAGTACGCAACGAAAAATACGTAAACAGATGTGATTTTAGTGTAAATAGTGTCAATCCAACCGTCACATGCTATCGTACAACTTTTATGAAGAATTTGTTGCCTCCCACTAAGAAAAACCTTTTTATTAAGTTTTATCGTGCCGCATTATGGTGCATTGGAGTCAAACAACTATCTCTCGGGGCAGGTGCGAGTCTACTGCCACTACTGGCGGCGCAACTCGACCGGCCGGGCCCGCGACCCAGACGATTTTTTAGATAATTATAAAATGACCACGCCAAACGCTACACACATCGATACCTTATAAAATGACCTTCATTCTGTCACCCTCAATTAATCGACCAAATGCGTAATTTCATAGAAAATATAAAACACTTGTTACGATACGTCAAAAAGTACTATGTTTTTGATAGAAATAATTTACCTGTATTTATCCAGTAACAAAAGCACCGACAAGCCCCAGGAGACAAAAATGGAGAGATGCGTTGGCACGGAATTTTCCAACGTAATATTTACCGCAACTAGTGCCACAGTTTTCAGTGAAAAAAAGTTCGATATTTAGGCTCAAAAATATTTGAAATTTACGCGAAAATGTTTATAAAATATGTCCGACTAAACATGGCGTCCAAAGATGTCCGACCAAATTCAATATGGCGAAGCAAAATGGACGCCCGTTCTCCACCCGCTCGTACTTGCAAACTCCACCGAGAAAGGAAAAGCAACACTCAAGTCGTTTAGAAAAAAAGTGTCATGCATAAAATGTTGCCATAGCAAAAATTGTGTCGCCGTAGTTTTATTATTTATTTTATAAAAACAGAGAAAACTAATCAAATCGTTATTAAAATATCGTCAATAAATAATATTTAAGACATTTGTGTAAATATGAACACTAAATATGAGGTATTTACATTTATTTTCCAAGAAATTCTTTAATGTTTATAAACAGAAACATTTAGAACAACTGTCAAACAATCCCAATGCTGCCATCTTTATGGAACTTTGACATAGCAGCACCATCTGACGGTGAAAAATATCAATCTTTGACATTTTCCGTTTTCCTCTTCCTGTGATTATTTAATAGTTTGAGCCAAGATATTTGCGCTAAATTCGCGATGGCTCTGAGATTACTGAGTAAATTGAATGTGCGGCCTGAGCTCCGTGGTGTCGTGAACCTTAGTTCTGCAGCGGCACCAGCGACGTTATCAGATTTCGATGTGCAACACAAAACTCCTGTGGTGAGGAAGCAGCACCTCGTCCCGAAGGCTCACTATGGAGGCCGTCACGCAGTTACCATGCTCCCAGGAGGAGGAATCGGTCCAGAGTGCATGGGATACGTCAGAGACATTTTTAAGTAAGACATAACCTTTATGTGACAACCTCTTTATTAGGTCTCTGAAAACAGCTGTACTTTACCTTATTCAGATTAACACGCAATAAGTTTGTTCTATCTATTAGTTGAGACGCAAATAGTGCTAATTCTCCCTCTGTAAATATAAAATATAACCTTACATTTAACAATCTAATTGTGTAACTTAATACAGGTCTGGTTTTATTCAAGAGCAATTGAAAACAATGAGTTTTCCTCATGTGACCTCTCTTTTATTATACTATGTGCACACACACACAAACACTCTAAGACCCTTGCATACTCCTTTAGCTACCTTATTCACATTTTGTGCTTCAATACAAGCACGTCAGTTATGAGTTTCCACACAGCTGCCCTTTTTCTGATATGTCTTCAATGTAGTCCAAATTTTAATATTTTGATCTCTGATCTAACACATTGACTATACCTATATATAGTATATCATATCTATAATTATAGCCCAAACTTGCTTACTTATTAAAACCAACCTTTTAGCAGTCTTTAGCTAATGTATTAATGAGAGTGATGAATTAATATGCTGATATATCGAACATTTTTTCGTACAAAGGTAGTATCTAAACATCGGAAATAAGGTCTATAATGGAGTTAGTCGAGAGCAGTCACTGGTGACCGCTTGGGGATTATGCAATTAATCCTAGAGAGTGACATAGGCAAGCATCTTACAGGCCACGAATTTCGTGTAGCTCCACCACCACTCTATGGGCTGTTGAGCATGTGCGTCTTGCGGTGTCCTTCTGTAAACTGGTTCCATAGGCACTTGCCTGATTTGCCATAGGGCTAATATGGCTTTGCATAATGTTTAATTCTTTCTCCGTGTGAGAAAAGGCCTTTGCCCAAACATGAATGTCTGATTAATGAATAAGCTTTTAACCTTTTGAACGCCACGGTCGGCTATAACCGACAAAGCAAACATGACGTGATCCGTCACAGTTGGTCACAGCTGACAAGAAAACATAATATCGTACCTCCGGTGCTATACCGCCACTTATGTATTGTGGGGGCCCGCGCGCAACTGAACAATGAAACGTTGTTTCTCCTAGTGCCGTCCAGATTAGCGCCAAAACCGTAACGACAGTAATGCCCTCACAATGTCAGATTGCTTACCACACAAATGACAATAAATAACGCACCAAGTAAAGAGGTGAATTTGGAATATTCTTTCATCAGTTAAGGTTTGACAAAAATTGCATAAGTGACGATATTGCACCATAGTTGCGATATATCTGACCGTGGCGGTGAAAAGGTTAAGTTATTATGTCTATCGTCTTTCATTAATGGTTTCTTATCACCTTTCTTCTAATAAATATGGCCTTAGATTATTTATTACTCTTTGTAAAAGTACTAATTGGATAGATAATGCTGTAGTAGTTAGAATTACCAGTATTAATGTGTTAAGTAAATTATCTTAGATTATGTTGGAGAACAAAAGAAAAACAAGTATTGGTATGCATTAAGAGCTCATTTTAATAAATGGATGTGTCTACAAGATATAATAAAAAAAAAATACCTGTAAAATTAATAAATAGTAAAATTAACTGTTTATAGATTTTTTTTGTTTAATAAACTGGTAGACAATCACGGATCACCTGATGGTAAGCAACCAGCACTGCCCATGGATACCCAATACACCTGACCTGACTGGGATTAGAAATTTGAGCATTGTTGGGCATTTAACCTTACTCACACGACGAAACACAACGCAAGCGTTGTTTCACGTCGGTTTTCTGCTCGACCGTGGTATCACTCCAGTCGAGCCGGCCCAGCAGTGCCAAAGCATAGTTCTTCCACGCTTAATCATTGTGTACTAGACATAGGATTTTGAGATTAGCAATGATTAGTCAAGCATAAAAATAAAACAAAACTGTTTCCATGGGAACAGGTACTGTTCAACAGTACAGTACAGTACATCTACCGAAGTAGATGTTAACATTTCATGAATAAATTAATAATAATGAACAACAGATAGATTAGTATAGTAATATCCTTTCTATCTATTTGTATGTTTGTCCATGAAACTGAAATGTATGTAGTGACAAATACTTTTATTTGTTACTAACTTTTACCCGCGGCTTCGCTCGCGTCACAAAAGTATAAAAAGTAGCCGATGTGACATAGATCATAGATACACACAGCGCCATCTATACCAATACTTTTGTTTTCCCTCGGGAATATCACATTTTTCCGGGATAAAAAGTACTCTATTATTTAATCCGGACTTCTAACTTTACGTCTGGTAAAATTCAAAGCAATCAGTTTAGTGGTTACGGCGTGAAAGCGGAACAAACAAACAAACTCACTTTCCGATTTATAATATTAGTAAGGATTATGGACACCCGGGATACTAGAGGCGCTACTAGTGCGTTACTGGCCTTTTGGGCATTAGGAATTTGAGAATTGTTGGGCATTTAACCTTACTCACACGACGAAACACAATGCAAGCGTTGTTTCGCGTCGGTTTTCTGTGAGGCCGTGGTATCACTCCGGCTGAGCCGGACCATACTGGTACCATTCTATAATTGTTCACTAGTTTTTTTTTACATTAAATATGCTATTTACAGATACATCGGAGCTCCAGTAGACTTTGAGGTAGTGGACATTGATCCCAATGTGGACAACGATGAGGATGTGCAGTACGCCATCACCACTATCAAGAGGAACGGTGTCTGTCTTAAGGTACAAGTTATTTCACATAAAATTTCCGCCTTTTTATTTCCGAAAGGGATTTTTTTTAAGAGGCGAAAATCATCGAATGACTGCTCCCGCCTGGGTGAGGCGGGAGGGTGTGTCAGACTCTTACTGACTAAAAACCACCCCGTTCCTTCTCCTGCACTTCGAGCCGGAGCCCCGGTAACCCGTTAGGTTCTTCGCGACTTCCGAAAGCGATAGGCAGAGGATATTAAACTAGAAAACACCCCGTTCCTTCTCCTGCACGTCGAGCCGGAGCCCCGGTAACCCGTTAGGTTCTCCGCGACTTCCGAAAGCGATAGGCAGAGGTTATTAAACTTAAAATATCCAAATTATAACTATCAAATCTCTTCTCATCCCATCCGTAAGGTGGACAGATGACCTGATCAAGGTCGCAGGGAGCTGCTGGATGCAGGTCGCCTCCAACCGGCCTATCTGGAAGTCATTGGGGGAGGCCTATGTTCAGCAGTGGACGTCTTGTGGCTGATATGATGATGATGATGATATCTTTTCTCAATTTTTCCAGGGTAACATCGAGACCAAGAGTGAAGCCGCCTACGTGACATCCCGTAACATTGCACTCCGCAACTCATTGGACCTGTACGCATATGTGCTGCACTGCAAGTCCTTCCCCGGTATCACTACCAGGCATAAAGATATTGATATACATATTATTAGGTATGTGTTTTTATTGTATTATAAATACCGGAGCCCCCCCTCCCTCCCCAATCCCCCAATCCCCAAAAATCGTCTAATTCCTAATTCCCAAAGGGCCGGTAACGCACTTGTAACACCTCCAGTGTTTTGGGTGTCCATGAGCGGCGCCGAGTGCATACCATCACATTTGCCTATGCTCGGTTACCGGCTTGTTCAAAAAAAAAATAAGAAAAGTTTTTTTTTCTAAAGATGCCCAATATAATTGGAGTTGAATCTATTGCCATATACTGGGCACATTGCAGAGTCAATGCAATTTGAAATTGAGAATATCCAATAATGCTCGGATTAAACATAATTTTTAGAAAAGTGTAACAATTAGAGTTTCTTGCTCGTTTTACTCCATTCGAATCTACATTTTGGAACGAGCGACCTAGCTTCACTGACGCACCGACTGGACAGACTATTCTCTATTTTGTATTTGTTGACGTTTCAAAATAGGGTAGATACCTAATTTTTATTTTAATGTCCGTCTGGTAGATTATTTAAAATCATTTGACACGTATTTTTTATTTTCTTACAGTAACTAATACTTTCGACGATATATTGATTTGAAATGTCGCGTGACGTCACTTCTATGTAAATTTTATACGTAGAAATGACGTTTTAACCCCCACTCGTAAACTTTGATTCTCTTTATCTAAGTATTGTTTCGATATTATGACAAAATAAAAAAAATACGTGTCTAATATTTTTTCACTACCTAACTGACGGACTAATTAGATTTTTAATTTTTATACCCTGTCATCATCCCTATTACCAAATTATGGATTTTTTTTTAATTTTTTCGGTTCTTTTGCAATGCAAACGTAAATCTCGATTAATTTGATTTACTAACATTATTCTGTTAATGTTATAGACAGAACACAGAAGGTGAATACGCCATGTTGGAGCACGAGTCCGTGCAGGGAGTGATCGAGTCCATGAAGGTGGTCACTGCCAGCAACTCGGAGAGGGTGGCACGGTTCGCGTTCGAGTTCGCCAA